AGGATTTTATTCTTTTTTCAAATTCGCCCATACAGGCTAAAATATTGAAGATATATCGGTACTATTTAAGATGAAATTGAACAGAATCAAATGATTTTTTTAATGAAATTAAATGAGGTGAGATAAGGTCGTATCGTAATGATAACTTATGAATAAGATCCAATGAAATGACCTCTCAGTAAAATGGTGGGAATTTACTCAGAGTTCAGTGGACTTTTTTGAAGAACCTTTGAATCAATTTGAAATGGTCTTGATTCATTTTCCCACACTTGTGAATTTTTACTGACGCTAAATGGTTAATAAGCCATCACACCACACGCTTAAAACACTAAATTGAAAAACTTAATACCTCGCGTTACCGCCCAAAAGTCTCAGGCAAAGACAAAACCATTCATAAATTTATTTAACTGTGTTTGTTCAACAATTTTTATTATTTGCTGATTAGTATCTATTGACGAACTTAAGTATTACATAGTTAAGAATTTTGGAAATAGTCGCTTTTTTAAGTTTATAATCAATCGTAATTCTTAGGTGTCTACGGTCCAATTTCGATTATTGACTATCTACTATCACTATTATCAACGTCTTAATTTTGTTAAAACTACTTTAAAACGAACCATATTTTGTTCAATACAATCAAACATCTTTTTGGTATATTGCTTCTTTTGTTAAGGCTGCAATCTCTTATGAATCAATGTTCAGTTCATTCGCGAATATTTTTTACTGTCCAACTAAGGCAATTAGCTTAACAGAGAAACGTCTCTTGTAGAGAGCTCTGAAGTAAGTCTTTCATCCGCTGAAACTAAACCTCTCTACTGTATTACAAACTTTTGTGTTAATGACGTGTGCACAAATATTATGTAGCTTTCACACTTTGTATGAAAACAGGCTTTCGAAAACAGACCAAAGCTAAATGAGAAATCGACTTAAATAATTATAGGTACAAATTTTCATTGAAGCATCAATTGAAATTTGCGTGAAACATGCCTCGTAATTAATAAATGGTAACGAAGTAAAGTTGGAACATTAAACATTTCGTACTAAAATCTTGAGTTAAGATACTTTATGATTGAGTAGTTTTTAAATAAACACGTCTAACATCACACAACACCATTAACGTGTTTCATTCATAATCAAGTAAGCTTAGATTGAAATTTAAATAACAAACAACACGATGTTTATTTGGTATCATTGGAATCTATAGGAATCCAATTCTGTACACAGCTCATCAATTAGTCTGTAACGGCAGCCGGTTTCCAACATTGTTTATACTTGCTGTTTAATTAAGCAAGCCTAATATTTAATCTGTATCGGTGTATGCACTGACCGGATTGATTGTTCTACTCTGAATCTTTTGTACTACATAATATGTGAGATGTCCATACAAAATGGTTAAATACGTAATGTACGAATGTAAACTTCTACATTCACTGATGCTAGACAAAATACTTGAAGTTAATCGGTATCAAATGGATCCACTTCTGTAATACCTATCATGTACTTATGTTTGTTTGGAAAGCGTGTACCGACCGACGTAACCGGTCGCTAAGTAATTGGTCCCTTCCCTTGGGTATTCCTTCGCTCCATCTTGTTTTGTGCTGTTAACGAAAGCACTTTCTGTTTGCCGCCAACTAATTAGATTTCTCTATCTCCTTACCATTTGATTAACATCCTTTTAAATGAATTAACTCAGGTTGTGAGTAATCGCCTAGTATTTTTCTGTAGGATTTCAGATTTTGGTTTCAGAATTTATTTGTTTAGGTATTTGTATTCATTAAGATTGTTAATTTCTTCATTGAAACTTCTAAAATAAACAGATAGGAAGTTTCATTAATCCAAGAATAATTAATTTAAATAATGTTAATGTAATTAACTATCATATTTTTTGTTTGGTGATTACTAAAATTAAGTATACAATATTTTTAAACACCAAGAACCGTACTTGAGCCGAAATTCATGTAGTACTCGTTTTCCTATTATACCAATTTTATGATTGCATCCAGAACATTTGAGGGGTGCTCCTGTCCCACTGACCCAGTGACACGGCGGCTAAAGCAGAAACCGCCGCTCTGTAAGGTTGAACAAATAAACGTGAGCGTGTAAATATTCCACTCAAACATCCAGGCTGCAAGCCGTTCGAGTGTGCGGGTAATAATAAATTTGCTGACCGATTCAGATGTTAAAGAAAATTGGTCGTTATTAATCAGTCATTAGGTACATTGAAACTTCTTGAATCCGGATAGTTTTCCTTTTATAAGGGCTGTTCACATCCCACATCTAATGCCGGTCAGCTTCACCAAAATGAGTATAGTTTATTTTTTGGTTAAATTCTCTGTATTGCTTCGTAAACAAATAATAGCATAACCATACGGTGCCTTTCCATATTTGCATGTGTAATGGTGAATACTTAATGTATAAATAGATAACAATGACTTTAATACTATTGTTTCTTGAAATTAAATGGTTCTTCATATAAAAACAATAGATGAACAAAATAAAAATACGAACAACTATAACAGAGACAGTCCACGTCGCGTCGCCTGTTTTAAATTAAAAACAAATTATACCATACTATACTTGAGACCTTAGAACTTATACCTCAAGATGGGTGGCGCATTTACGTTTTAGATGTCTATGGGCTCCAACAACCACTTAACACCAGGTGGGCTGTGAGCTTGTCCACCCATCTAAGCAATAAAAAAAAATCCGACATTATAGCGTTGTGTGGTATATGTTACAACAAAAGTCGTCACTCAATGGAAAGCGATGATTAGACATAGCTCTATCTCACAAGCGGTACAACGTGATTATATAATTTGAATCGCAACGGGTATGACTCATAGTCGACACGGCTTAAATGATGAACAATATTACTTACTAAGCTCTTACCAACACCACATAACTGCAAGAAGTAGTAAATAGAACGGTCGAGATGATTTGCCTACACGCCGTAAATCCCAACGCATATATGGTGGCTATAAACTAAACTGTTGAAAAAAACATTTTTAAGTAACAAAATCAGACATACACCAAATCTTATTAGTTCAATATGTACCTAGTCAGGTCATAAGTATTGTCACACAGTAAAAACTTTTCTTTTAAAATGCTGGCCACATAAAAGTTTATTGAATTCGAATTTCGAATTGTTCATGAAAATAAAAATGTATAATTTTAGAATTTTAGTCATTTTTAAATATGGAGTGGACGCTTAAAGAAGACCGTGTTGCAGTTATTGCGTTGCATCGTTGCGGTTACGCGCCAATTTAATTTTTTAACATACTGAAAAATTTGAATATAACCAAAAGATTCGTTTATCGTACCATCAAACGATACAATGAAGACTCTAGTGTAGATGACAGGTCAAGTAGTGGTCGCCCTCGGTCTGTTAGGACTCCAGCAGTGATAAAAGCTGTGAAGGTGCGAATTCAAAGAAATCCCAAACGCAAGCAGAAACTGTTGGCCCTTCAGATGGGGTTAAGCAGAACCACGGTGAAAAGGGTGTTAAATGAAGACTTAGGGCTTCGGGCATATCGAAGAAAAACAGAACATCGTTTGAATGCTCATCTAATGGACCTGAGACTGAAGAGATGCCGCGCTTTGTTGAAGCGGTACGCGGGAAAAAAACATCGGGAAATTCTTTTTTCGGATGAAAAATTTTTTACCGTAGAAGAGAGCTACAACAAACAAAATGATAAGGTGTACGCACACAGTAGTGAAGAAGCGAACAACCGTATTCCGCGTGTCCAACGAGGTCATTTTCCATCCTCGCTCATGGTATGGTTGGGAGTTTCTTATTGGAGCTTAACAGAAGTACATTTTTGTGAGAAAGGTGTAAAAACGAATGCAGTTGTGTATCAAAATACAGTCCTGACGAACCTTGTGGAACCTGTTTCTCATACCATGTTCAATAACAGGCACTGGGTATTCCAACAAGATTCGGCGCTAGCTCATAGAGCGAAGAGCACACAAGACTGGCTGGCGGCGCGTGAAATCGACTTCATCCGGCACGAAGACTGGCCCTCCTCCAGTCCAGATTTGAATCCGTTAGATTACAAGATATGGCAACACTTGGAGGAAAAGGCGTGCTCAAAGCCTCATCCCAATTTGGAGTCACTCAAGACATCCTTGATTAAGGCAGCCGCTGATATTGACATGGACCTCGTTCGTGCTGCGATAGACGACTGGTCGCGCAGATTGAAGGCCTGTATTCAAAATCACGGAGGTCATTTTGAATAAACTTTAGTGTCATAAGAATCTATGTTTTGTTAAGTTCATTTTCGTATATGAATGGTTACATAATGAATAAACTTGTTTCAATTATTTTACATTAAACATGTGACAGAATTTATGACCTGACTAGGTATAATCGCTCCATCAGATCCAATAACTGTTGCACTAGACGCATTGAGTTCTAACACTAGGACTTAGTTAGGGACCTCGGTAACCGAACTAGTCGAACTCGGCCAAGACTTCGACGTGCAACCTAACCCATGCATCAGCTCGCTAAGTTTCTCACCGGATCCGACTCGGTAGTAGATTCATTTGCGAATCCCACCCCTCATGGCTGAGTCTTTGCTCGCTTACCTGTCCTAGTGAAAATGGAAAAGCCTACGGGGCACCAGTAATCAATCAATCCTAAAAAAAATGTATTACTACCGATAAGGCATTATTGCTTGGATGGGTGAACGAGCTCACGGCCCGCTTGAACTTAAGTGGTTACCGAAGCCCATAGACATCTACAATGTAAATGCCGCTACCCACCTTGAGACATGAGTTGTAAGGTCTCACTTTTAACAGTACAACGGCTGCCCCGCCCTAAAAACCGAAACACATTACTGCTTCACGGCAGAAATAGGCGGGGTGGTGGTACCTACCCGCGCGGATTCACAAGACGCCCTACCACCAGTAAAAAAGCAGCATGATAAGAGATTCTGGTAGTAGTACCTATCTATAAGTGACCGGGCTCGATTTAGGCACTAAACTATTTTGTTTAATTGCAGCATCTCGCGTTCGTCTTAACGAATACATCGAGCACTTCGAAACGTTAGACTACGATCCAGATGATTTGCATCATCAACACTTGCGAGCTCGACGCTCCACGGATTCTCAACGAGAACTGCGACTCGACTTCAAAGCGCACGACAGGAAATTCAAGTTGCGTTTGCGACGAGACTTGTCCGCTTTCAGCGATGACTTTAAGGTAAAATAGCACGCTCCTTTAATTTAAAATCAATTATTTGTATTGAAAATCACCGACTTTTTTGAAGAGAGAGAAGGTACTGGTGGTAGGACCTTTGGTGAGTCCGCACGGGTAGGTACCACCACCCCGCCTGTTTCTGCCGTGAAGCAGTAATGCGTTTCGGTTTGAAGGGTGGGGCAGCCGTTGTAACTATACTTGAGACCTTAGAACTTATTACTCAAGGTTGGTGGCGCATTTACGTCGTAGATGTCTATGGGCTCCAGTAACCACTTAACACCAGGTGGGCTGTGAGCTCGTACACCCATCTAAGCAAAAAAAAAAAGAGATCGCTCTAAGCAAAAAAAAACAATAATTGTACTTTCTTGTTGTCATTTTAAGCTTTACTGCTTATTATTATTAACTGGTGTTATATGACCTGTGTTCAATTAATAGTTAGGTATGTATGGAATTGAAGCAAATAACTTTCAATTTTTTGTTTTCATCACGGTGTAAGTACATTATATGTTTTATTAATATATAGTACCTACATTAAATGTTTTATTAGTCCTCTTTCTATTAGCAACGTAGGCAGAAAATACATTAAATATACCGACGAATAATATACCCATGGATTTATATACCATACCATATACCTTTAATTTTATGTAATCCTTAAATTGAAAACAATAATATAAAGAGTAGTTCACTAATTGTTTCTTTACAAAAGCATTGCTATCACAGGTGTAATGTCTTATTGGATGAATCAATTAGTTTATAAGCTAGCAAGCTGTTATAATAAATCTCGGCATTGAAAGGTCGCTCGTTATGATTTGTTTACTTTTCATGCGTTGTTTCATTTCTTTCTTTCTTTTTTTTTGTAGTCTGTACGGAATCAATGCTTTAATGAAAACTTATCATGAAAATTATCCCAAATATATCTAGTACAACATTCAAGAATTTATTACAATTTGAGGTTCTGAATTTCGAAAGTTTAAATAATGATGTAAATCTGATTCCAACATTGTTTGGAAATATTGTCCATTTTTTTGTTTACCTGATAATGACAATTCGTTTCATATGAATGAAACTACATTAATAATAATAATATCCATTTTAATTTTCATGAATATACTTCATATAGGTAGCCTGGTTCACTACATTAATAATAATGTCCATTTTAATTTTCATGAATATACATAGTTCATATAGGTACCTGGTTCGTTTAATAAAAAACTGGGTACAATTACGTCTAAAAACGGTGTGTAAATAAGTGGTACAAGCTTGTTATGAAAATACCTATTTCTAGAAATCGACTCGAGATCGAATCATGATTCACGCCTCAAAGTGGGCTGCGTATAGTGTTCCGATGTTTTTGCTTTTTACTTATGTAAAAAACAAGGTGGAATATGTCTATAGTAGATAACTCTGTTACGTTTTAAAAATGATTTAATTTGCTTTTAGGTGGAAGGCTCACAAGGACAAACACACGAAGTTGACTCATCGCACATTTACAGCGGAAAACTGGCCGGTGAGTTGTGTTTGAAATAATTATTCTATTTTATTCTATATAATTATTATTTAATTACTATTTAGGGAGATATGGAGAGAGTATTCTTTATTGTACACCAACAAAAGAAACAATACGAAACATTAAATACAAAAAAATGTACAATTGGCGGTCTTAGCGCTAAGAGCCACATCTTCCAGACTACCTTCAGGTGGAGAAGAATATTTTGGAAACTAATTACACAATTTAATTATTCTATTTAATTTAAGATAAAGTTGTTTATCTCCAGAACAAAAGTGACCGTGAAAGTGTTTATCGTAAAAGTAAAGGATTTAATAAATTTGAACGCTTCGGACTTATGAAAAGCAGTCACAAAGTTTGTGGATGGCGTACGGGGAGTTGACAGCCGTAACTCGGGACCGACTTTTGTCCATTGTGTGCTGGGAACGGAGAACACGGACGTTATCTATACGCGCAAGATAGACGCCATTGTTTGCCCTCGCCCCGAGGGTAAATTTAATAAGTCCCTGTACGGAGTGTGTCGACTGCGATTGTGTTGCTCCTTAATCAAACAAAAGCCGAACGCGAACATTAACCTCCCACTGCTTTGGCCACTCGCTAGTTCGATGTTCCCAGTTCGACACACGTCTTTAATAATTCGTCGAGAATACTAAAGTTAATTTCTTTTAGCAATTACTAACGGGACGTTGTCAAAGTCCTGTCTAATTGGGAGCTTTCGGCGCCCACTTAAATTTTAAAGCTTACCAGCGTAGAGATTCATTAACCGGAATCCGCTACGGTATTACTTACCATCCGCAGAAAATGTAAATAGGTAACCAGCCAAAAATTACGTTCGGTCATTAAAAAAACATTTTCCAATAACTCAATTAATAATGTTCAACAGCCACTTCAGTTTTTTTTTTTAATTACTAAATTTGCATAAGTATAAGACCCGGCTTATCGTAAGTAGCTACCGCTGCACAGGGATGACGTCAATGCTAGGGGTAGAACAAAATCTCTGTATATATTACAGACACGTCTCTAACGTTTCACTAAAAGTCGTTGTTAGATTTAATTCCGACCAGCAAAGCGTGTTCCAGAACATTTCATTTAGTAAACAACTAGGGATAGTGATGTGTGCAAACGCGGTGAGCCCGGTCTTCGGGTTCTAGTTGTTATGAGCATCGTGAATGTTTGGATCAGTGTAAACGGATAAAGTTGTGCGGAGGGCGTTGTAGCATCGATCGTAGTTCGTCGCCCTACTTACTGCGGTCTCCGATGCACTTAACTGTCGTGTTGCAACCTGCATTTTGCATAGCAACCCTACGAATGCGATTAATAACATTCTAACATACAATATTATCGTATACGTATATTTGTCATAGGGCGTATTAAAACCGATACTGGTTTTGTATACACCGTTTTGCCTATTTCTACAGTACATGTTCTGGTTCGTTGAAACACATTACAGATATACATAGTTCACATACGAGGGCTGCACTAAAAGTATCGGGAATGGAATATTTCCAGTGTTCCTGTCATATTAAAATCTTTTTAATTGAAAACTCCTTGGTTTTAAAAATCGAATACCATTTATTTATTTAAAAAAAGTTTCTCGGTCTTGTCACGAAGTTTTGTCAAACTTGTTTAGTCGTTGAGAAAATGGAATTGACTCGAGAAAATTCAAGAGCGATGATTTATTATGACTTTCGAAGTGATTTAACACAAAAACAGTGTGTTGACCGGATGATTTCTGCATTTGGTGATGAAGCCCCATCCAAAACCACAATTTATCGCTGGTTTGCTGAGTTTCAACGTGGACGTGTCAAGCTCAGTGACGATCCCCGTCAAGGTCGTCCAAAAACTGCAGTCACCCAAGAAAACGTCGATGCTGTGCGTAAGCTGATTGAGGAAGATCGACATGTGACATACCGCGAAATTCAGGCAACTTTAGACATTGGCATGAGTCAAATACAAATAATCTTGCATGAACAATTAGGTGTAAAAAAGTTGTTTTCCCGATGGATACCGCATTCGCTCTGTGAAGAGCAAAAAGCGGCTCGCGTTACTTGGTGCGTCAGAACTCTCNTCTATTGTATTTATAGTATAATTAATAAAAAAATATATTTTTATGATCACCCCCTTAATTGTTTATGTCTGTTGAAAAAGAGCACCCCCTTAATTTTGAATTCATTGAAAACACCCCCTTACTTTATGAATTATCCTTGTCTCTTTTTAGTTATATCTCTTGTTGTATATAGCATTTAAATTTCCCTATCAATCTTATAAACTAACCCATTTCTCCCGAAACACAAGTTCACTTTTTTTAAAATGAATACACTTAAAGTCTCAAAGTTTTCCATGACCAGATTTTCATTTGTTAATTTGCTATCATTTGTTCCATTTTAATTTCATTCTCTATTATTTCGCCTTTCAACAACATCTTCTCGAACTATACGCCATTTCTACTTTATTACACTCCATTACTATTATTTCCTCTAATATCACCTTCTCGAACTCCACTAACTCTCCATTTCTTCCTATTTCACCTTCTCGAACTTCATTACCTCCATTACTATTATTTCCTCTAAAATCACCTTCTCGAACTCCATTAACTCCATATCTTCCTCTAGCACCTTCTCGAACTTCGTCGACTTCGTCTTCACGTTTATTTTTATTTGTTACTTATGTTAGTATTCTCCCTTCCATTACCTTATCTCATGCTCTTATAATAATTGTCTGTTTGGTCTTTCAGCCTTTTATAACATTTTATATATTTTTGAATGGTTTTATTTTCATTAAATACATTACATATTGGTTGCTAAGAAAAATTTTTACAAACAGTTTCGTTTCCATGGTGATGTTGTAGGCGTAGGTGATGTTTTAATCAGCAAACTATAATAAATATTACCTTATAAATTCTGGTCTGGGCCCATAACCTGTTGGATGGTTAAGATTTTAAGGGGTTGGGTTCTTTAGGTGATGAGGGGCTATTTAAAAACACAACTGCTTCATTATAATTATATTGCAGATAGCTTTAACACTTTTACACCATTATACAATTTTTATCTTTATATTTTTTATAAAACTATTACATGTTTTTCATGCCGTGTCTAGATGAGAAGTGACTGACATTTTCTTACGAGAATACAATGATCTGTTTTTTAAAACATTTAAAATAATTCCAATATTCGAAATCTAATCAAGTGTCAAGTGTTGCCTGCCATTACATTTAATATACAAACTCCAACACTATAATTTATTCTAAATAATAATACACCTTTTTGATACGCGTGTTGCAATTTCACATGTAATTTTTATGATACTGAAATATTGAATCGAATACTACAGCCGTGAATCTGTTCAGGCATTAACTTATTGGATTCCAGTTAGTGGCGAAATACTTCGACAACGAATATTTCATTACAAAGAAGTCCATGCTAAGTCGGCACATCACTATATGCAATTGCACAGCTCTTGATTCCTGTCACCTGTCAAAGTTTTTTGCTAGTTCGAGAGAGCAGAGGCAACAGATTCAAAACTTTTTCGACTCACTTTTTACATTGTGAAGTCGTCGTGCCCTGTGGAATAAAACACCTGGTGCATTCATATTTAGCTATCTTAAATGCAAATTAAACAGTGCTGCATGTTTTTCAGACAAACACGAGGTATTTGCAGGATAACTGTACAGGAAAGATTAATTAATTAATTATTAATGCCTTACCCGTACTTTGTCCTACCAGTATTATAGAAGTCAGTAAAGAGTGACTGATGTTTTGACAAATCTGTTACAATCACAATTGACAACTGACGGTTGAATTGTCAGTTTGTTATTTCCTCACTTTGTGATTTGAACTGATTTGTGTGCTTCGATTATTTGCCTAGCTTGAATCTTTTAGCAAAAATATAGTTTAGAATAAAAGTTTACTTTTGATTATGTACGCGAGTCCTATTGCGCTTAATTAACTTTCTCTGAATATTTATTTGCAACTAAAAACTCCATGTTGACGTGCTCTGTTTGTTGCTGTGCATATTTGTTAGTGGATAATATAAATCCAATATTTTTTTCGGTGATATTGTACATTTAAAAAAAAAAGTGTGTAGTGACTTATATAAAAATTCAAATGATAATAGTTAATGTGTTATCGATGAGCGATCTTGGCGTTTGTGTCCGAACTTGTCGGAATGATGTTGATTATCAGTGCCTTAATAACTGGGATGGTGACCGGTCTTCAGAACATTACGACCGAGTCTCCATCGATGATCAGTGACATCACAACATCATTGAATACGAAGAATAAAGTTCCAGAAATGGGGCTGGTTGAACCCACTAAGCTATCTCTACCCACTAGTGACATGGTGAATGTCAGTATTCACGACCAGCCGTCTATGTGGGATTTGTACTTGCACCACTGTTCCAAGTGGAGGCCAATAAATCACATATTTTTCCAAGTGGCGAATATATTCTTTCTTATGTCATTCCTGGCACCTCATACAGACATTGGGCAAATATGGCTTCGGGTGGGCCTGATGATGGGGTGCGCGTTTTCAGGAATGTGGGCATGGAGTGTTGAATGTTACTTGGATGCAGTGCTATGGAATAGTGTATTTATATTGATAAACTTTGTGTATTTCTCTTACCAGTTTTATTTAATGAGACCAATTAAGTTCCACAAGGAGATTGAAGAGGTGAGCACCTTCAAATTAAACTATAAAGCATTCTTTAATTTTATGATGCACTCACTAGTTTCATGATGATTGGGATATTAGAATGTGTTATTCAATAAAAAATATATTAAAATACTGCTTAAAGGAGCCACAACACAACCCATTTGCACTCATCAAGCAATTCTAAATAATTAATTAATAAGCCTTTTTTTATTTCGTTTTCAAAAGGAGCACTAGTTTTTACATTAATCAATTTTATTCAAATTAGAGGCCCATTTGATATTAGACACTGATAATATAATGTTGAAAAAGAACTGTCTGAATTTATCTATTAAATTTACAATTAGTATTCATTACATTTCTCATAATAGTTTTTCAATAAACACATCTATCTGCTTGATAATAATATTTGTTCTGATTATAAACAATTACACTATGGTAGAGTTATGTAACATCATCATCATCATCATGCTTTCCTATTACTCTCTGCTGGGGTGTAGGGCTCGAATCAAATTTTTCCATTTGTATCAGTCTTGGGCAGTCTGTTCTAGCTCCTCCCACGTCATGCCCAAGACCCCTAGCTCCTGCTCCACCGAGCGACGCCAAGTAACATGCTAAAGTTATTTGTGATTTTGTCATATTTGTTCATTTTCTACATACTTATGTCAATTTTATTCCATTGAGTTGAGAATTGCTACCGCTGTTAACTGGAATGTTTAGCAATCATAAAAGGTATGTTAATATTCATAACAGAAATGGTCAGCTTGAATTTTTTGTGAGTTGTAATTACTTAAACTATGGAAAAATCAAAGTATTTTAGCAATGAAAGTATGAATATATAATTATAAAACTATTCAATATACAATTATATATAAAATTGTAAAATATGGCCCTTTGATAGCAGAGTACAGTACTAATGCTTCAACATACTGAGATTTCATATACCTAAAAACATTGTATATTAGCCAGATAAGCTCTTTACAAACAACATCTCAGTATGAGAATATTAAATGAATATTTTATATTTGGAATAAAATTTACTTTAGGATGAAACACTGATTAGACCCTCATTATTATGTTATTCTTGTGATAAAGAAAATGCAACAATAAATGCAAAGCGACAACAGCTATGCAACACACAAACTAAATGACTACAATTTACGTTGTAGATGTCTATGGGTTCCAGTAACCATTTAACATCAGGTGGGCTGTGAGCTCGTCCACCCATCTAGGCAATAAAAATAAAAAAAAAAACAAAAAAATATATTTTTGTTTCAGGTGTACTTAGCGTTGTTCAAACCACTACGGGTATCAAGGAGACAGTTCCGCCGAGTGCTCATGTGCATGAGAAATGTGAGGCACCTCAAGTGTCACGAACTCTATGCACATGAGAAGGTTACTAAAGTTGACAGCCTTTCGTTGGTGCTTTCGGGCAAGTAAGTATCTGTTAGATAATAAATTCAGAGGTTAATAATTATGAAATGAAGACATTTTTGTCATGATTTTTTTAAATTGCCATTGTAGAGACAAGCATATGCTCAATATGATTGTGATTAGTTACTGTTGCTCACGGACGACATAAATGCAATGAAAACAGCCATGATGTTGACTTGCAAAAATGTATTGTGATCAAAATTGGAGTAAAGATAAAAGCTAAAGTTATTTATGTATTATGAAATCAAAATAAGACATTGTTGTAATATAGCAACCTGATATCATGTTTCCTTGGCCTTCTTAATGGTTGGCACATTGATTAGTACACATCTAATAACAAATAAGTAGTTGATGAAAATCAGTAATAAGTGTAGAAGTCACAAAATTCGTTGTTGTTTAGAATGTAGTTTGACAATCAGAATGAAATGTGGCTATGACTAAACATATCAGATGGCACAGCGTGCCTAAAAAAGTGAATTATATTCTAAAGCAATGTTTTTTTTTTTGCATGTGTATTATTACAAACATAACAACAACATAACAAAAAAAATGCATTATCGCATAAATAAGACAAGTTTAAGACGTTTTAGGTTTCTTTCGAAATATTCTTTCTAGAAAAGCCTTGGAGATTAAAGCATAAGAGAGCAATTGCGTCACCTAAAGAGCTTTGTTTACAGATATTAAGATATTAATCCATATTTGTATGAATTTTCACTATCAACAATGAGTCGTATATTTGCACTATGTGTGTCACTGTTTTTACATTTTTATATTTTGCGACTCGATCAAAAACGCCGCGACATTATATCCAACATACCATTATCTTCTAATTACTGGTGATAGAACGTCTTATGAGTTCGCACGGGTAGATACCACCACCACCCCGCCTATTTCTGCTATGAAGCAGTAATGTGTTCCGGTTTGAAGGGTGGGGTAGCCGTTGTAACTATACTGAGAGCTTAGAACTCATATTTCAAAGTGGGTGGTGGCATTTATGTTATAGACGTCTGTGGGTTTTGGTGACTATTTAAAACCAGGTGGGCCGTGAGCTCGTCCACCTAATTAAGCCATAAAAAATAATAATCTTAAATATCATAAAATCAGACTGACGAAACGAAGTTTGAAGTGATTTCACAACAATAGCATCCTCTGAGTCGAAGGACTACAGGAAACCCGTCTACACAATCGACCTGAATCACAGGAACAGAATTGGTATCGTTTGGTTCTTTCTCAAGAAGCGTGTATGGTAGCCTTACGCTTTGTCTTCCTGGGCTCGTTCGCTGGTAGTCAAACCTCATATGCGGGGAAGATTGCAAGCGTTTATCTCGCGGTATCCAAATAGCATCCACAGTAATGGCCGTTCGGCATCGATCTGGGGCCGGTAGTTCCCGAAATAACTACATATTTTCAATTAGCTCCTACACCACCCGGAAGATGAGACATCTTCGGTCACAATTAACCGAGTCTCTGAGGACCAGACTATGGCTTCGACGGTCCGCAGGTTGCTGGTCGATCGGTTATCTGCCTGGACTATGCATTTAGTACGGTAGTACTCAGAGTCGCCTTGCCGTCGGTAATCACTTAATCAGTCACCTGTCTTTGTCAGTTAGCGATATTAACCGGTTTACCAGTGGCGGCTTGTAACCTGATTTTCCTTGTCGACAAAACTGCCGTAACCATTGTGTGATAGTAGGTGTTGTTGGCAAGTAACCGCGCGTCGCGACCTCTGGTCTCTTACTCGATCAGCAAATCAGAAGCGATTTCGTTGTACCAGTGTAATAGACTGCTTACGGCCGATTAGCACCAAATATATACGGCCTCATATTTCGTCTATAAGTGGGGTAGCATCCAAAATTAACGACATTCCTTCGGAAAAGACATTCGCAATCCTTCTTACTAAAACTGAAGTGGTTTCACACATTGTCCGTATTTCTTGACTGTTAAGATTCTATTTGGCTATTACTTTTGCCTCACAATATATTTATCACGTGCTGTGTCTCCACTCGAGATAGTCGTAAAGTCCCAGGTGGGCAATAAAACAAAGAGTGATTGATGCTAAAACTTGATTTACGATACTTGGCTCTTGGTGCGTGCCCACAAATTTGTTTGCTTATATATTTTAGAATACTTTTGATTATGGCTTATTCTATAGTTGCAAAATTAACAAGTATGGGGCTAGATTTTTTTCCCTACCAATTCTCTGGTAGTAAATTAACTTGATGAACAAACTCCAAGTGTTTATATAAGGAATAAATGCCTACTTCAAATTTTAAAAATCTTTAGGCCTGAGACGATCACTAACAATGAGTTGTGAAGGATCACCATGCAGGCGACAATGGAGAGGAAGATCCTTGAAGTGGCATTAGATTAGTCACACATAAAGAAAACCTACCCACCTATCCAAGAGAGCACTGACCTGGAAAGTGTCTGGCAAAAGGAAGAGAGGCCGTCCCAGAACAACTTGGCGTCGCTCAGTAGAGCAGAAACTGGGCGTCTTGGGTATGACGTGGGTAGAGCTATACTAGAATAGACTGCTCAAGACCGATGCAAATGGAAGAATTTGATTCGAGCAACCAGCAATAGGAAAGAAAGAAGAAGAAGATTCGCTGGTAGCCTAAGGGTTATTTAAATAGTGCCCAATCCTTTTCTCCAGCTTTTCTTTTAATGGTCTCCTAAAAATTCGAATGAGAGCTGTTGGATTATAAGTGATGAATTCCTTCACAAGTATGATCAAACCATCATATTTGATTGCGATTAGTAGATTTGCTAATGATTCACTAGGAATTAAGCGGTCAATGTAGCCCTGAGGAATGACGTCGAAGTCTCAATTGTATAAAGGCAGTTTCTTCCTTTAAACCGAAACGCATGACTGCTTCACGGCTGGGTAGTACCCACAAGCGCGGGGTCACATTACGTACGCAAGTGGACGTGGTCAAGTGGAAGTAGAATATTACATTTCCTAGTCGGGAAAGGCTCTCTTCCATCTGTCGGGAACGTGTTATGAGCTTCTTCGGACACATCATGCGGTCTCCCAGACATGAAATAGAGAAGCTCATAATTACGGGTCGCATAGAGGGCAAGCGCGCTGTGGGCAGAACACCAGCCAGATGGTCAGATCTAGTAAGAGAAGCACTTGGTGGTAGTTTGTACCATGCAGTCCATGTCACCCATGATCGACTGCATTGGAAGTACGTCGCATGTGGTCGCGATCCTCAGTAGTGAGGGAACGATATAGAAGAGAGAGTTGGGAAGCGATATGCTGTTTGTGAATTCCCTATGCTTCGATAAACGTTTTACAACAGGTAGACGGTTAGTTAACTTGAATATTTTACCTTTTTTTTTACGAAAAACTTATTTATATCTGTTTATCATAAAACACCTAATCAGAATATTATTGCATCAGTCAGCGATGGTCCGCTTGTTTCTTTTCTCCACTTGTGTGAGACTGAGGAATTGCTTACAAATCGTGATTTTGATTTTTTTATTAATAAGACTAATCATGAATTTTATCCGTTCACGTATTCTTATAAGGAAGTGAAGTATTCTATTCATTTTATTTGTTTTTCTTACGTAAAACCTGTTTGTAAACATGTCCAACTCATTTGGATAGCACGCCCCGTGTTCCGGCACGAAATAAGGTCATTCGGATTGGTTAAGCTCTTTATGTACGTCTTATTAGGTTTAACTTTAAGAAAACTTTCATATTCTCTCAGATTTTGTAAGGAAGACTCGGGGGCAGTGTTTTAAATATAATATTTATGTAATCGCAGAAAAAACATAAAATTTAAGGTAAATCAAATCGAAATGTTTTTCATTAATCAGAAAGATTTTCAGGGATTTTATTAATAATATTTTTTTAATTAAGAACGTAATCACCGCCACCCACCTTAAGACATGGATTATATATGCTATTTTTCAGTATAACGGCTGCCCCACCCCTCAAACCGAAACGCACTACTGCTTCGCGGCATATAATAGGCGGGGTGGTGGTACCTTACCAGTGCGCGCTCACAAGACGCCCTACCACCAGCTTGCTTTTTTTACTAATAATATGTATTCATAGTACAAGTTTTCATTTTAAATCATGCGTACAATAATTGTGAATGTAACTGAAAGAAAAAAAAATACATATGGAAAGTTAATTACTGACCAATAGGAAGCTACACTATGCCTGGATATGTAGTTTTGATAGTGAGTCATCGAACCTGATATTATAATATAAAATGATTGGCACAGTTGCCGCATCGAAAACATGGCGGCAAAATGCAGACTTGTTCACCCTGTCAATAATATTTTACCCAAAGTCGACGCGAGAAGGACAACTCGTAAACCTAAAAAATAAGACATCAGTACCGTCACTTACTGTATCGAATAACTAATATAAAGACTTATAAAAAATAATCTTATGTAACTAAACAATTTTCTGAGGCAAATGACTATTATTTAAACTTGAATAGTAATGCTTACCCATACGAATTATATTTTTCTGCGAATCATTCATTGCAAACTATAAACCTTAAAAGTTCACGTTTCCGTTATTGGCTCATATTCATCACTAAAATTTCTGTTGTATGAATTTTACTCTCGTAAAAAAATCAATTGTAATGAACATATCGGTGACTGATTTAATGTTGTATCGAAAAAGACCTTGTAGTGGGTATTTATTCTCGAACTTTCCATTTAGTTCATTAGCAGACGTAGCAGATGCAAAATTAGGTTAATAATGTAGTAAGTTGGAAAGGAAGGTTAGTAAGTTGTAAATTTTCGGAATTATTTGTGTATAGTAATACCAGCCACTGTTTATCCATATAATATAATATTTCCTAGAATGCTCGGCAAATTATCTATTGTCAATAAAATCGGTTCAGTCGTGTCGAAGATCAACCTGACCAAACAAACAAAAAGATAAACCTAAATATTTTGGTTTCACTCAAGTGCTAATAATTATATTCAATATGTCCTCGAAAAATTGTTTATTTCGAAAGTACGAGCACTTAAATTTATTTATAGATTGGCTCTGTCCAATATTGGTGATCTACCCACGTTAAGACTACATAGGTCGAAAGCAATTATTATTGTGTCAGTGCTTCAGCGACGTAATTTTTGCGCAATAATAATAAATAAAAGAAATGTTTCTAATTCCATACACATTTAAATTTAATTTATCTGAAAATCAGTTGTGTATAACGTAGAGCGGCTTATTCAAAAAGTGAACTACGAATTTAGGTATAGCAATAAAAACATGGGTCAATCTTTGCCATTGACGATCCGATCAAGTTTGAGTTGTCTGATACAAAATGTTTTCAGGATTGCAATTATGTATTTCAATTCATCAGAGGGAAACATTGTTTTTTGTCAGATAACCAAACCTTAGACCGCACCTTCTTCTGCTGTTTCTAATTAGTCCGGAAATGCTTTTGCATTAATGGAATAATACAGGAACAGAATTTGAAAAACACAGACCCTCCATCTTGGAAAATTATTAGATTCATTGGAGTCTTTAATTTCTGCACATGCCGTACACCTAAAACACATTCATGTCCAGCAATCGTTACAAGTGAAACATACTGTATTTCATTTTATTATAATACAATGACGTAATATACAATTAGGCCTAATTTGGATGAGTGGGCATTGCAGTTTAAGATGCGTCAGCTCAGTTAGGTAATATTAAAATACGTTTCTACACAGTATTGACCTACGCACACCGAAACGAAATGGCAGAGGAATTAAAATTTTAACAACCTTATGTATTAGGAATACGCCATAAATTTCAGTATTTTAAATTGATCCTGTGAGATCACCAAAGAGGATTTATTGACATGGGTTGCCGAAGAACGCCGCAGTGCAAGCGGGGTTTTTTATTGCTTAGATGGGTTGACGAGATCACAGCCCACCTGGCGTACGGTGGTTACCAAAACCCATAGACATCTACAACGTAAATACCGCCGCCCACCTTGATACAAGAAGGTCTAAGGTCTCAGTTTTAACAGTACAACGACTGCTCCGTCCTCCATATCAAAACGCATTACTGCTTCATGGCAGAAATAAGTATTTTCAAGACAACACTCGTTCAACTTATGCCTGAGATCTGTATCAGGCAGCAGGGACCGCCGCGTCACGTCGCGGGATTTCTTGGTAGACCTTCGGAATGCCACGTCATTTAACTGTGCACTTGTCCTGACTGATGGTGGTGGTGGTTCTCTACCATCACAGTGTGCATACAAGACAAAAATGAATTTAGATAAGTCGGTATGTTCGAATCTGAAACAATGAACTATGGTCAACTTTTAATCGATTTAAGCCGTTCTAATTCATTAAAACGGAAGAAACGGCTTGACCTCTCTACGGTACCAAATTCTATGCAAATCAAGAGGTCGTAAGAAACGTATAAAATCGATGTATTTCGAATTTTAAAAAAACCTAGTCATTGGTAATTTGTAACTCTTGTGTAATGTGTGTGTACCTAGAATTTCTGGCAGGAAAGTGAAGTAGTATCCATTACGTTTTAGTAGTCCTCATCAGTAGACAAGGATTTTTATTTACCCTGATATCGCCGTTATCTTCTAGCTTCAGGAAATACTTACAATTAGGAAAAATAAATAGTGTTAGACAAGTATTTCGTATGGTTACCGCTATGCCGGCCGCAGGTAGTTGTTATAAATGCATGGTGTATATTGGTATGTGAGGGCAAGGATTTCAGTCTGACCGGTGCAATGCAGTTATCGGAAGAATTTTACAGCACACTGTATGTTTTGTATGATGTAACATCAACTGAGAATGTCAGTTTGTCGTATTGACAAGACCTTTAAATCGAAAATGGGCAGTTTAATTACAATTCTGGCCCAAAAACCCGCCAGCCCCGAAAAGCGTATTAACATAATGCGTTTTAGTACTATTATTTGATTCTTTGGTGGTAGTCTATACCATGCGGTCCATGGCCGAACACTATGGGGGAAAGTCACACGTGGTCACCATCCTCATCAGCAGTAAGGGAACGATGAAGAAGAAGAATTTGTTTCTTATTGTTTGTTAAGTTGTTAATTATCTTTCTTTTCAGGCTTGTGGTGTCACAGAATCAGCGAGCTCTCCATATAGTGTTTCCTCATCATTTCTTGGACTCTCCCGAGTGGTTCGGCGTTTCGACTGACGATTATTTTCAGGTATGAACTTTTTCAGTGCAAATACGTGTTTTTTTTTCTCTAATCAATGCTTACAGGGAGGATAGCATCGGGTGGACTGCCGGTTTTAGAAGTTAATACGTGATTTATTATTCTTCCCAATTATTCTTCGTAATATTACTTTCTTTCGGTTAAATTTTCTAAATGTTTTCTCTTCATCGCTGTGGACTGGAACCTATGTGAAATCTGTTTTCTATTTAGTTTATAGCTGAAATAGCCCCTTAGACTACCGGCGAATAGGTAGGAAATAAAAACAAAAAAATAATAATCCTACGTCTTCAGTATCTAGATTCAACAACGTGGCCAAGAATTTTAAAAAGTGGGTAATATCGCGTGATCTATGTCGATGAAGGTGCGAATCGTGAAGACTTTCGCCTGCATAACTAATTTGTAAACGAATTTTAAAAGAAAAGGCTACAGACGTGAACGTTTTCTATTTTTAATTGTCAATTAATCGTGCTTTAATTTATATATATAACTATAGCAGTTAGCTCCCTCCTAACTGTTGCGCCAAGGGTCGTGGGTTCGATTCCCCCATCGAGCAAGTATTCGTGCGATGAACAGCTTTGTTTTCTCTTTATCAGGGTGTTTGTTTATCCTACTAATATTATAAATATGAAAGTTTTTAAGAATGTATGTATGTATGTTTGTTAATCTTTCACGCAAAAATTATCGCATGGATTTTGATGAAACTTTACAATAATATAGCTTACACATCAGAATAACACATAGGCTATTATTTATAAATACAATAAAAATTTGTGATTTATTTCTAACGCACATTTGGTAGTAACAAATTGATCCTTATAGCAAAATAAATACTTTTATAGCCTCTGGTATTTAAAGTACTTAAACTTTGTCTTTTACTACATCATTTGGACAAATACTTGAATAGTTATGACTATAAACAACTGAGTGCGCGATATTATGAAAGATCAAGAGAGAAACTTCAATAAGATCAATAATAAATTACAGTTACCGAAGCGAAGCGAGGGCGGGTCGCTATTTATCTATAGATGTATATACTTAAACGTACATAAGTTTGTATGTCAGTTCTAGTATCCATACACAGGGAATCCGAATTTGAGCCCAGGCGCGTGTTTTTTTCTCAGTTATTTATTATTAAATTATTTACCCGAAAAAACATCTTGCTTCTACGCGAAATTACGCTAGCAATTTTCCTTGATCACGCGGGCGAAGTCGCGCGTAATATCTAGTAATACTATAAAAAGAATTCGTGAAGGAATTGTTATGTTTAAAAACGGAATTCTTGAAAATGATTATTAATCATCAAGCCGATTTCGAATTTTTAAGCTCCTTCGAAAAACAAAATAATCGAACAGCTGCTCGTTACGTCATCGCGGAAAACAGGTCACGGCTTGATTCTCGTTATGTTTCACGTACGGCATTACCATAAATGCAGTGTAAACTGTGACCGGTCCGGCGGTGTTATTCTACTAAATCAGTTCACGCGTACGAACGGAAGCCCGTCGCTGGCGTGAATACCCGCTTATCGTTCTCACAGAGACCAGCCAAATTGAATATTGCTTGTTAACCAGAATAGTACGGTTTGGTTTTTTTTTCTGTAACTTCGCTTGCTTGCCTAGCGGAATCCACGTCAGTCCTGTCCCAATGTGAACGAGCCAAGTATTATGCTATATAAAGGTGCAACGTTCAATGCAACTTTCTAAATGAGCATACGTGTGGTTACGTTGCAAACAGTACGTTTAGTTTCGAAGCTTAGGGCGATCTTTAATTAATATTAGGTGTTTATTAAGTTTATTTATTCGACGGAAGAAAGCGGAATAGTCGTAACTTGAAAGACTCAACTTTACACCGGAGCCATCGATAAACGATGAACTTCTGTGCTTACTGTTTTTTTTTCCTACCTATTCTGATAGCCTTGAGAGGCTATTTCAGCTTCATCCTAACATGCAGGTGAGCTCACGGGGCTCAAACCGGAAGTGTTGTTAACACTGGCCCTAGCAAGAGCAGTGCTTCGCAGCCGGCGAGAAACTCAGTGGACTGTGTCTTTGGGTTAATTCACTTGCCGAGCCTTTCGTCGCAAGCGACGGGTTCGACGAGGACGATGACCGGTGATTATGATACCTAAAACTGCGTTTCGATATTATTATTATTTTACTGCCCTTGTAGGCAGGCATATGAGCCTCCTGATGCTGAGTGGTTACTGACGTTCATGCTTGGCATGTTTCTAATGCCAAGGGCAGGGCCAAGCCGCTATCTAACATGGAGCCATAGGTATGCATGGATTCAACAAAGCATACAAAGATTCCTCTAATATCTTGCCCGAGGCGACGACTTGTATGCAAGAGTTCGACTATGAACACAACACACACACAAAATAATATTTGAGTGTAATGTTGAAAAAAAAATCGCGTTTTTTTACGGTAAGCTATCGTTCATTCCAATTCATACAGCAAATCGACAAAGCTTCCGACAAATAGTTCGTATAAAAACTTCGTATTTTTTATTTGGACGTGCAATTTTGAATTGAAAATTTCAGGTGTCTATAATGGCGATGGAAGAGTCTAGGGTGCTGGTCTGGCATAGAGATAAGCTGAAACTATCAATAATGTCGGACGCTTTCCTGCAAGCGGTCTTCGATCATATCCTCGGACGGGACGTGGTTCACAAATTGATGCAGGTAATTAGTGCAGGAAAGATAAACTGCTATTTTTAAGCGTTGCGACGGAAGTCTTATAATGTGCTCCCACTATCCGTACGGGTGGTGAAGGGGTGGAAGTTTGGAATGGACCGTTACATACTAAAAACCCTGCGAAATTTCTCAGCCTTGTTCTGAACGGCCTCTGGAATCGACCATTGTTTTTTTTTTATTTTTTTTATTGCTTACATGTGCGGACGAGCTCACAGCCCACCTGGTGTTAAGTGGTTACTGGAGCCCATAGACATCTACAACGTAAATGCGCCACCCACCTTGAGATATAAGTTCTAAGGTCTCAAGTATAGTTACAGCGGCTGCCCCACCCTTCAAACTGAAACGCATTACTGCTTCACAGCAGAAATAGGCAGGCTGGTGGTACCTACACCGGCGGGGAGACATGAGGTCCTACCACCAGTAATTACGCACATTGTAATTTTGCTGGTTTGATTGTGATGGTATGTATGCGTAAAAAACCAACAATCAAATCCTATTGGGACAGCCTCTAATTACATAGCCGAACCAGAAGATGGAGCAATGGAAAGCCGCCGCCGCCCTAAGCACACTTTATCGCATCCTCCCGATCCAGTCTTGGTGCTTTAAGGCTCTCCAAGAACCGGTCACCGTTCTTGAGTTGGACGTGCAACCTAGCCCATAGACACAACCCACAGTTTCTCGCACGATCTTCTCATTCGGTGCCGAATCCAATTCAATGATAGATTCAGAAAAGCCCTACTCTTGCTGGTGCTAGCGTCAGAAAATTTTCTCAGGTTGAGCCCCGTCAGCTCAACTACCAATCCGCGCGTTTTTGGAATAGACCATTAGGCTACTAGCGAATATTTAGGGGGAAAAACAATCAGTCATTGAAGTGTTAACCAGCACTTGCCAATAAAAAATGCGACATTCTGGGTGGCTATTTTTTTTTATTGCTTACATGGGTAGACGAGCTTACAGCCCACCTGGTGTTAAGTGGTCACTGAACCCCATAGAAATCTACAACGTAAATGCGCCACCCACCTTGAGATACAAGTTCTAAGGTCTCAATATAGTTACAACGGCTGCCCCACACTTCAAACCGAAACGCATTACTGTTTCACGGCAGATATAGGCAGGGTGGTGGTAATATGGCGTGTGTAATATCGTAAAGTTAGAAAAGAAGAAAGATCGTAATCGAAATGTTGCATCATTTTACAGGTAAGCGAAACGATGGCAGTCAGCAACGGTCACCTCCCTAACAGCTATGAAGAGGGAGAGGACAAGCCGATGCTGGTCGTGAAGAAAGCTGGCGATGGACCTGGAATCACCGCGATACTCAACAGGCAGCTTCAAGGTACGTTACAGAAAGTTCTAGAACAATATTAATTTTGTTAAACATTCAAATTATTATACAGATATGCGCTTGCTACAACACGTGACAGAAGTGAATCTTCGCTGACGACAGAAGTATATTTTATATTTTTAGAAATCTCACAAAATGTTCTTGAAAAAATCGATATTAAAAGCAAGGTCAGAAATGTAATGTTTTTAAATTACATTTTCTTCTGGTATAGTCTAGATACACCATACTATAGGTATACTACCAATAGCAATATAGATATGTTCCTTATTTCATATTAAAATAATAGCCTAAGGGTCATTACCGCAAGAAAAAGACATAAATCTGGCCATGAATCGGTACAGTGATGTCTGTCACCAAATCTGAACTTGCCTGTAATATCGAGATTTATGTTGAGCCTGCTTAATGTATTCGCGTAACACTGAACTATGTACGTATTGTACATAACGCGTTGCGTAATTACAATTGACCTAAGCCAACAGAAGTTTCACTTCGAATGTGTAATCGTACTCGTGTCGGATGTTATACTTTCTCGTGGTTCTAAAACGCAGAATGATGTAAGAGAAACAACAAACTCTTATTCAGGAGACGGCATAGTCTACGCTCGCAGTCGACAGTCCGCTTAGCACACTGATTTTCTCACCGGATCTTCTCTGTGGGTCGCGTTTCCAATCCGGTGGTAGATTCTGCGAAGCACGGCTTTTGCTAGGGTTCGTGTTAGCAACATCGTCAGGTTTGAGCCCCGCGAGCTCACCTACTAGTCCGGTGACGCTGACATGGTCTCTCTAGACCTTCAGCTTAGGTAGGAAAAAAAAGACAGTCCGCTATAAAATTAATTCCTATTTTAGTATATGTTTTAAACCACACCCTTGTCTGCGTGCTTAGATAAACATTAAAAAATGAACACAATCCTGGCATATAATACGCGTTACGCAATACCTAGTATCTAGTAATATAACTGTTACGTATTACTTGATATATATCAATACTAGTAGACTAGGGTTCTAGTCATAGAATAGGCAGCAGATTTAATATCTACCTAGTACGCGATCACAAATTACTTCTACGAGAAGTATTATCATGTAATAAAATTCAACGTGTAGTAATTATTAATTTGCCTATATCGACTGTCAAACGTTGTTTTTCCTTTTAGAACTTAAAATATAATAGAATAGAACTTAAAAGAGATCGATTGAAGAATGTATTCGAAAGTCATGTTTGTTATTAACATGGATTCTTGTCGCGTTTTTCATATTTAATTAGTTCCCGACATTTTGAGCGTGTTACTAGCGCCGTGGTCACGGATAGAAAGAATACTGCGGGTAAGATGTTAGGAGCAGACAAATATACCTTTACTAGTCCGGTTTTGGGCGTTACCATTGAAACTCGATGACCCACCCCTACAATATACAGTTAAATTACTCACAGTATTTTTCGAACACTTAGTGAAGGCATTGTTTTATTAAACAACCATGTTTGTTGTTCCTTTTCGTCCTTTATAATTAGTAGAGTCAGAGTATAACATCGAGATATGAACATAGTAGTAACAACTTTGAGCCTCTCTTATAAAGAACTGTTTTTATTCATCATTTTCGTTGTTGAACAATTTGACAATCCGTCTGGTTCTTCGCGTTGATAGTAGCCGCTACGGTATAGATACGTTTTAATTAACGTCGTCCGATTTCGTGTGATCTGAGTCTCGACCGGCAACTTCAACCCATAAATCGCGGAAAATACAGTCAGATAATCGAAACCAACCTACTCAGACTAACAAAAAGCACTAGTGAAAGATTAGAGTTAAATTGATATATATTTGGATCCTTTGTTAAGAAAAAATATAATCGGATAATTGCTATTTCAATGCTATTATGATTTCGAATTTATATTTTTTTATTTGGACGGCGGACGGTTGGTCAGTGTTACCGTTTAAAATCAAACGAGTTTGCCCGTTTATGGCAAAAAAAAAACAGATTTGAATTGTCTATTAACATACGCAAATCATTTTTTTTAATGTCTAATGCAAAATTGAGTTAATACGAGATTTATAAGCGATAAAGCGATATTGATTGATGAATAAAAAAGAAATACAAAATATTTTGGATATTTTGATTCACGATGAGTGATGATAAAGTTGAATATCGGGAATTAGCTTGTTTTACGTTCAATTCAATATCTTGAGATGAGGCTCAAATTAAATTGTTTTGCATGTCCGTATATATATATATCGATGTATTTAAACAAAAACACCTTTTTATTGCTTAGTATGTCGCAGAATTCACGAGGCTACAGATTGGTTATTAAAATAATACTGCTTTATGTTCAGTTGTTTCTTTTTTAATTGACATTGCCATTGACTAAGATAGTGTTGGAACTTGCCTGCATTTTGAACTAATAAAGAAATAGCCACTAGTGATGTACAATTCTTCAAGCAAGGTCTTAAATTTGAAGACAAAACAGTGGCCAACCGTAAAATCTCGTACATTTAAATAAAAATCTATGTTAACATCAATATTTATACGAATATATTAAAAAGTGTTGGTACACTGAAGATGTTTAGAACGAATGACGATATAGTGTAGCAATAAAAACGTGTTATTCACTTTTTTTTTCATTTATTATTGATTGAATTCATTAATGATTTATTCGCGTTCATAAATAATTTTGTTCGTGTCCTTTTTGTTTAATTTGACCAATGATCAATCCGATCACAGAGCCCTGGACTGTTCCGTGCATGCCATAAGATTGACTGCTGTAAATACAGTCAGGACTTTAACTTCACTGCAAATTAATAGTGCTAGACCGTTTTATTTACAGTAGTTTTTCAAGCACTTAGATACGATCATATAGTTTTCTTAGGTTTTCCCTGTTGCCAGGACGTTTTGTGAGCCCGCGTGGGTAGGTACCACCACCCTGCCTACTTCTGCCATGCTGTGATTTCTATGGGCTCCGGTAATCACTTAACATCAGATAGATCGTGATCAACATTGAATTTTTTTTTTTAATCTGTATCGCGTCATTTCCTCATTACTGAGGGTCGTGACTCCCCCGCTGCATCAGTTTCGCCCGTACGATTTCCCTCCATCTGCTGCGATCCTTAGCTTCATGAAGGGCATTGTGGAAGTTGATGTTTAGAGAAGATCGTATTTGGTCCGACCATCTCGTGGGACTGCGTCCTCTGGGACGTTTGCCATCTATCTTTCCATCTCCCTTTCAATCTGTATACCACATGTTTTATATACACGAATTAAGCCCGAATCAGTTGAAATTACGTATAAGCCACTTTCTATGCTTCTACCCTCTTTCTAGATTTAAATGTAATATGTTGAAATGCTTGTCCTGTTACTATCGTACAAAGGAATTTTTTAATATCCTTTAAATTAATTATTAATGATTCAATCGTATAAACTATTATTTTAAGTAGCTATTTTTAAATAAATACCTTTAAGTATTTTAAAATAGGCATAAGATATTTTAATGTGAAAACTAATTAAGCACACTTTAAATATGTCTGCTTTATTATAACTCGGTTTTTATATTTAAATCAATAAAATTAATCCATTGTCATTGTAATTGCCAAATAAGCGGACATATTTAAAGTTTCATTGTATTTTATACTAACTGAAAATACGTTGACATGATCCTGATAGTAGTGTATATGTCCATTAGCTTAATTAATGAAACTTATTTAAATACGATAAAGTTACACTTTGTTGGGATCGTGTCGGACGTGGTGCTTAGTTGTCGTGTCGTGTCGTTGACGTGTCGGTGTCGTGTCGTGTCGTACAGGCGAGCATGCGCCGTTACTGCGAGCCACGCCGACGACTCATGAATGCTGAAGCTGCCCAGCAACCTCCCATCGCTCCCAATACATTTTACAATTCACTGCTATCTCCTTACATTTCGATTTATCCTTTTGTTTCCTACCTACCAGTATCCTCAAGGAGCTATTCTCGTTTTACCCTAAAATATTCTATATCCACCCAACTTCTTCGAACACCATTATTCCTAAAAAAAAACTATCATGTATATTTTTTACTACATTATTCTTTTTTTATATAAACATAGACAATAAATCCAAAATTATAGACAAGTATGAACACTAGCATAGATTTTCAGTCTATACTCGCCAAGTTTGACCTTGAGATTTCTAACAAGTAATAATATATACCAAAATAGCAAAGTAATGTATTTTTATTCTTCGATAACAAAATGTACTTTCTTGCTATAATTTAAATGTCGCGTGAATTGTAAAATGTACCATTACATCCTTTCTATCCCAATTGGAAGAATATGTATAATCTAAAAAAAAAAACAATTATTCAATAATTCGTTGCAGCTTTTACACTATGTCACTAGACTAATATACCACCTGATCTCAACCATACTACCTGATATACTATTTGGCCATAATATATTATACTATCTATGAGAATGGAAATGGAAACTGGGCACCTGTGGGCCTACCAAAAGCCTTTAATTCTCTGCGCTATGTACCGTATGTTCCATGGGGAGTAGGTGTTCTGAGGAACTATCTGAGATGGTCCCATATGCTATACCACTGCCAAGAACCTCGGCACCGGAGCAATGTGAATCCATAGTACCTGGAAGCACTGCGTTCGTCCACAGCGCATTTCCAAAGAACCATTTGCCCCATACCATTCGGCTGCAGATAGAACTTTCCTGTACGCTGTTTCCTGAGCGTTATAACTTACAAATGTATTTTTTCGAAAGAGGCTTAGCAATGTCTCTAGAATTACCGACGGCCATAAGCGACGGCGTCCACTTGCCGTCAGATTGATCGTATTATTGTCTATTTAGAAACAAACACAATAATAACTTGAACTTGTAATTTCCGTTTGCTAGGCTATCTTTCTAAATCTAAATATTCTGTAACTACGAACTTTGAATCTTGTTTAGCTTAGCTCTGAGAGAGACAATGTTAATCTTAAATAAATATGATTTAGAGTTCTTTACCACTTTAAATTAAACGGTTTTTTCTGAATACAAAAAATGCCTTTGAATCCTGGCTAGTGTTTGAAGGCAGAATATGGTATTTAAATATAATTGAATTTGTGACATAAAGTCATAATTATTGCAAGCTGCCTTTTCTTGCGCACTAGAATTTTAGAATTTTACTACTAATAAAAGTATAAAAATACTCATTCTTATCCATGATTTTAACTATTACGATACCAAGTATTTTATATGTTACCTAATATATTAGCTTATTAGTTTCGCACATATGTATATGATCCCATAGTCCTATCCCTTAGTCCGATCCCCTAGCATGTTTGGAAGATCGACATATGGAGGTAATTTTTTGTTTTGTTCAGCACTTTTTTTTTCACTAGTTCATAAAGAGACCCTTCACACTAACCCTGCGTATGATTGTTGATTATTATTTTGATTATTGGCATGCTTTTAATTTTAATATACACAGAGTAGCTTAACATATTAGCTTGTTCTTTATTCTAACTAACGTACTAAACATTTTGTAGTTTTGGCGGTGAAAAGATCGACCGATTCGAATTTTGATTTTTATTACGGTGAATTCAATATTCGAAGACTTTTAACGTACCCTAAAAACCAGTACAAGTGAAATACAACTTTAAAAATATGTTGTTATAAGAGTGATTTTTTTTGAAATCGTCCATGTGTATGTAATATCTTTTCACTACAAAGACGAGGTAATAGCTCGGCTGGTTTACATTCACACATTCATAAACATCGGTATTGTTGCTTTTTAATTGCTTTTAACTCGTGAGTCCGTTCTAAACGTTTGCAAGTCTACGACACGTGCACGGCACGTTTTTTTTCTTTTCATTTTTAATGTACTCGGTATGCTTGTGTGTTTGTCGACTAGTGTGATAACTAGTGATAAGTTTATGAAGATAGATCGATTCAAAATTTTGTTTAACGATTTTCTTCGTTTCAATATTCTAGATTTGCAATTATTCCTATTAAGAAATTATCAATAATGTTTTTAAACAAAACTGGCTTGATCCTAGAATAAAATTTTGAATTGATTTATCGTTTAAAAGCGAAAAAGTCGGTTGAGATGTGTGCGCGCCGAAAGACAACGTGACTTGTTCGCTTATAAAACAAACAATAAACACATTAATTTCTTATTGATTTAAATACTGATTTGTTTTGTTTCCGCTCAGCAACAGATCCGAATGCGTGGCGTCTAGGTCGGATAGACGAGACGGACCACGAAACGCCCGTCTGAGGATGCGCGCTGCACGTGTCGGTGCGACCGCTGCGTGCCAAGCCCTGCAGACTTTAGTGTGAAGGCGCCCTTGTTTCATTCCTTATATTCATTGTGTAGGTACTCGATTGTGATGTATTTAAAAATTACGTTAAATGTGTGCGCTTCAAGCTTAACGCGAAATGTAACTATTTTTATTGTACTTTCATTCAATTATATGTTGAAATAAAATCAATTTTTCTTAAAACAGATTTCAATATTAAAACGGAACTCGCTAATCGAACTAAAAACGTTCAAAATTTTACTTATCGAATATTATTTTTTTTATATTTTTTTGGTGCCTTAGAAGTTCCGTGTTAATAAAGAAATCGCGAAAAAATAGTACCGGGTAAATGGTTTTTTGTTGTATGAAATTTGCAACAATAATGTTACCTGTTAAAATACAGGGTGTTCGGAAACTTGCCGTTATAGGACGAAAACTGAACAGAGTTATGTTTGTGATCAGCGGGCTCTGGTATAAATACGACTTTTACATAAAGGTCTTAGTTACCAGGTCATAAAATCCATTAAAAAAAAAAAAGGATGAATACGTCAATTCTATTGGTGAACCCGAGCCTGTTGAGGCAAAATGTCTCTTGGTCGTTACATGACCGTGGATGATGATTAATGTAATTTAATGATTGCGATTTTATGCGTGTTACAACAGGAGTCACTAGCTACCTGTCTTCGGTTTCGGATAACGGTTCATTGACCCAGTGTATTTAAATGATGATTTATCATAGTTTTTACCCGACTGCACTAGAGGGTAGTTTTTTTTCGAGTGTTGTATGTATATTTCTTTTGCGCTCTGTAGCTTATGCGTCTGTAGCTTATATACCTCTAGATACCGTTAGATTCGTCTTAGTTGTGAAAGCGAGATACGCTAATCATATAACAACGTCTGTGAAACGAATGGAGATTATTAATAATATATTTATTATATATTAATAATATACAACTATTTCAAATAACGCAAAGAAATCCACATACAAAAAATATTTTGAATATGAAACCCCCAAGTTAAACAAACAGCCACACTTAAAGGTACTGTTGGTTCTTTTTGTGTACAAAGAAACGTAAATGTCAATAGATATTTTTTTATAGTTTATTAGACGGTAATTCAAAAAACGACGAATAAGTCGTCCTTGAACCACTAAAACTAAAGAAACATCGAGAATAATTAAAATGAAAAGAGTAAAAGCGATATTAAAAATTATAAAATGTATATAATAGTGCGTGAAACTTGCACCAGTCGGTTTATTTTTTATAAATAAATGTTTGGTTTTTTTATTCATTAAAAAATACATATCCTTACAGCTGTTCAAGAGTGTTGCATCGAAAGTATATAACGTTCAATGTCGCAATGGGTGCTATCATAATATCACGTACTTTATTTAAATTAGTATACAACATGAATATTATATTATGTATATCGAATCTGATCTCGTCAATTGATTGTCCCAAATAAAATATAGAATTGTAGTAAATATTTTAAATGTTAAAAGTGTATCACTCATAATTCGAATAGACAACTTCAGTTAAACGGGACATAAACGCGGATAAGAATTTTATTTAAAAAAAAATTTTCAAATTCTACTTTATATTACGGTTGGTTGGTAAGGAGTATCATCTTGTATAAGGGATAAGTTGAAAAAGTGTCCACTATTCACCGAAATAGCGCTAGTGTAGGAAGTGGAAATTATATCAATAAATAAATAATAAATAAATAAATATTTACTAACAGTCACGCACGTTAACTAGTCCCGTGATAAGTTCGTAAAGAACTTGTGTTACAGGTACCAGATAACGGAAATAAATATAAGATTTTTATCATACACATACACATATTTAATATACACCCATAACCCTGGAAAAGACATTTATATTTATCATACAAATATCTTCCCTTAGCGGGATTCGAACCCGCGACCTCCTTGTGTAGTGACCATGTCACTTACCACTACTAGCAGTTTTAAACGAGAGCGTTGGATTGAAGTGAAGTGTGATAGTAAGGCGCCGTTTTTAAAAATCTTTCCACTAGCTACTGTGGCGCCACCTTAATTTGCTTCCTTTCAGCGGACACTTAATACATTAAGATGATATGATTATAATATCAAAAATAACAGAACAGATAATTATTTCTAGAGCTCTTTTTTTAAAGCTTCAAATTTGTTCGCTTTGTCAACGTTCTAAAGTTAGGTCCCGTTTTATTTATAAACTGTAGCGTTAAACACAGTTTACAACTTTGGGACAGTTCTGAAAATATAAATTTAAAGAACTCGGGCTTCAGTCGTTTAGTCCCAAGAGATTTTTTTTAAACAAGGCAAACGGATAAGTAATAAACAGCTCTAATAACGTGGAGTACATTAAATAATGCATTAAAATGTATACATAATAAAGTACCGTATTTATAGAAACCGATTAGTGAATCATAAAATTTAGGTATGTATTTTGATAAAATAATTTATAAAGTTTAAGGTGAAGGGTGGGGCAGCCGTTGTAACTATACTTGAGACCTTAGAACTTATATCTCAAGGTGGGTGGCGCACTTACGTTGTAGATGTCTATGGGCTCCAGTAACCACTTAACACCAGGTGGGCTGTGAGCTCGTCCACCCATCTAAGCAATAAAAAAAAAACGTTGTGTTGCAGTCTACCTTCATACAAATCTTAATTTGCGTACACGTCAATGGATAGTGAATTCACGATGCACGTGCCCTCGGATTTTCGACCACAATAGGCCTCTAATATTAATCATAGTGTAGTTAGAATTTGTCAGTTAATCGAAAACCAGTGGATCTGCTTTTGTTGTTCGTTGTGGAAATCTCACAAAATTAAATATTCGGGTAAGTAGCATTAGGGTAACCATAATAATAATAATAATAGGTATATTAAAACGACGCATTTTAAAGTGTTAACAATGAAATGTGTGTTATTATGTTTTTTTAAGCCAAAATGTTTGAGAGTGAAAAACATTTTGATAGATAAAAAAATAACGTTATTTTCATCATTCCATATTTACGTGGAGATCTTTTATTTGGATGAGATACGTTAGTGTACCGTTTCCATACAAATATCCTTTTTTCTGTCTTTAGTATTTCAATACCTAATNCATTTTAAAGTGTTAACAATGAAATGTGTGTTATTATGTTTTTTTAAGCCAAAATGTTTGAGAGTGAAAAACATTTTGATAGATAAAAAAATAACGTTATTTTCATCATTCCATATTTACGTGGAGATCTTTTATTTGGATGAGATACGTTAGTGTACCGTTTCCATACAAATATCCTTTTTTCTGTCTTTAGTATTTCAATACCTAATTTTTGTCCTTTAGTCTGAGTTTTCGATAAAAAATATATATTATATTTATTCCTCATAAATAATCTATGCATCCCGTGTATGAAAGTATTACATAATATGAGCCATTTTAAAATTAAGATATAGGTAGTAAATTTATGTAAGTGTGATATAATGTGGACATTGAATGTTGTAATTTTATTGATTGAAATGTGTACAAAATAATTATTTTGGACTGATTAAAGTATATTATTGTAGTATACTCTATTGATAGGACAAGTTTGATACGTTGTCTATGTGATTAGATGCTTGCGACTCGTTGGTATGCTAAGTTTATATAAAATTAATTAAAATACGTTTTTGTTCAATAATTTACGCCTATACGCATATAATACTCGTTTGCTCGTTTTCTTTAATGCCACAAATATAGTATTTAAATTGAGGGAGATATAGTTGTAACGCAGTGGATATCATAAAAAAAATCCAGGTACCTATACATTTTTTCCTTCTTTTTTTTAGAAACATATTTTAATATTTTATTTGCAGTAAATATCGCTAACAATTAAACCAGAGCTTAATCTTGATTTAAAATTTGTACACTATTAAAAATATGTTACCAATAACATGTTACCAATCAAAATAAAGTTTGAATGAACTTTATAACTAACAACATTCAATCATAATCCAATTCTGAAAAACAGCCTTACGTAACATTATTATTTATTGTTGAATTTAGCAACGGTCTCCCTCACTTGCGGAATCTTTATGATCCCTAGCGTGTAGACGTCTTGAGTTCAAATATTTAGTAGGTATAAAAAAAAAAAACGATGCATCCAAATTCATGTAAAACCACACGCAAGACTATCAGATTTTTTTAATGAAATGCGTTTTTTATTTTATATCAAATAATATATTATTATGATTAGAATAAATAAACAAGAGAAATTAAATATGTAATAGTGATTAAGATAATAACTGTTACCACAACAATAAGATGATAAATCTAGGTCAAAATAAGAAAATAATAACGATAGTACATGAATCAAAGTGCCCGATAATGAATTTAAAAATTAAGTAGGTAAATCATACACCAATGTATTGAATGTTATTTTGATAATAGACGTATGTAATCTAAAGTAATTTAATTATCCAAGGCGTAAAATATTACAATAAAATCGACTTAAAACAAAACAGAATGACCTTGTAGCACTTTAATTAGATAGCAACTCACAGTAGTACAATTTTATTATCAATCATCTGTTACTATTCGGTTAGAACTTAGAAGCCCAGTGAAATTAGTTTGACGTTCACAAAATGTAGATTTTTTTCCTCACTTCGTACACACTTTAGAGACATAATAGGTAATGATTGTTGAATAATTAAAGAATGATATCAATAGAGGGTTTTTCTAAACGTCCATAATGCATTCCAAAGATTCCTGTTTGATTCGTTTTCACTGCCATTTAATTATAAGACCGTACAATTTTCAATGACGCTGACGTCAGTCTTGGACTTCAGATTAATAACAGGTGCTTATGTTATAAAGGTGTTGCGTTAGTAAATTTTTGAAATAATTAATGCATTTATCATACAATTGATTACCGGAATTATCGTACCTAGATTTGTAAACCTAATGCCAGTTACAAACGAATTATAAATACCTAGTAAACATCTTAGAAATCAGGATACCGAACTGAGCAATTACAAGATTGTGTCGACGGACATTGAAACCCGCATTGAACGCATAATGGCGGGAAAAATTCAAAAACGGAATCTCATTTCAGTGTGTGTTTGCCATAAATGTCTAGTGTTTTTTTAAAGTATTGAAATTTTGTTATTATTCTGTGTTTTGCGTTGTTTACCGTTCGAATACCAAATGATGGCACCTGATTTCGAATAAACCAGAAACGAAACGCTCTTTCAAATTAAAGTTGTGACATCGATGGCTGCGATGACCCAGTTAATAAGTAAGAACCATTTGTTACGCTTTCTATTTCGATATCAAAATCCTTTTTATTGTTTATTGCTAACGTAACAACGTCTTTGTGTAGGATAGGTACCTAGTCATACTCTTTGTAAATAAATCGATGTAATTTACTGGTCTTTCTTATTTTGGAACTAGGTTTCCTACTCATTAATTTTATTTCAACTTTCATCACATTCACACCTTTGATGATTTAACATTATCTATAGAAAACACAACATGTTGGTAGGTACAGACTATGCTGTCCTCAAATCTCAGTTAAGTGGAAAAAAAGGAAATGTTATGACTTTCAGATAGTGTTAATTATAATATCTATGATGATTAGCTACGAAATTGACACCAGTTGCACTGTTATAAATCATAATGTATCAAGTAACAATTTCCGATTGTACCAATATTCTAAGAGCCTGCACTTGAGTATAAGCTTGTGTACCTTATTCTAAAATTACTTAAAATTTAATATTACTAACAAGATTTAGCATACAAAAAAAATCCAATACCACCTTTGAGGGTTATCATTGGGCTGAAGATTACATCTTTGTCAATATGTATTATTATATTTAAAATACTCATGTCGGCTCCTTTCTTAATCGGCCTACTACTTGGGTGTGGTGTTACGGTGTGAAAATTCTGATATTCTGATATTGTAATAGTTATCTGTTTGTGAACTTGCCCTGGTATTATTATTTTAAAATTTAAACAATTGTGTAATTATTAAGAAAGATGGTGAATAATGTAAGTACATTAAAATTATGTTTAAAAAATGTTTTATTATTGTAACATATAAGTTAACAACTTATAAAAAATCACCGATAGTCATACTTCAAACTTCTTTTAATCAATTACAATGCAGACACTATCATGAATCATCAAAAGTCATCCTCCCGATTCCATGTTGTTTAATGTACCTTCTGTACTGTTTGTATTTATTGTTATCAGCTAAAGCCTTCTTAGCTTCTTCATCCTTGATCTCTTTCCATATTTTAAAGTTTTCTTTTATCCACAATTCTTCATCAAGGTATTCTTTTTTTTCATATTCCTCTATTGCATCAAACTGGTGCGGTCCCATTTTCATATATTTCCTAATTAAGTAAAACTTTTCTTCATTGCCAAATGGTTGTTTTAATATGGTGTACTTCCAGATCCATCTCAGATACCAGTAAATGTAATATGCTATAGTGTAGGGCAAAATTATTAATTGAACCCACAAAATATCTACAATTTCAGGTTTGGCATAGGCTCCTTTAATGTCCATGTTTTCTTCAATCACTCTTCTAATTATTTTATCCTGTT